GAAGCAGAAGCCAGCAGCAAGTCCGTTCCGTGGCTGTATATCCACTGATGTGTCTCAGCTCAGCCCCGACTTCACGTGGGACGTAGGAAACTGCCCACATGGAGTCAGTCCAGGATCCTTTCTGCTCCAGCACCGTCTGCTCCAGCGGCCAGGCTATTTTCCAATGTTTCCAGGGGAAATTCCTTTCCTGGAGATGCATTGTCAGGGACTGAACAATGCAGGTATAATGCAGTGCTCTTAAGCCACTAAACTATGCCCTCTCCTCCTTAAATTGGATTGAAGGGACCCCACGCTTGCTGCTTTAATGTACTGTAAAAAAAAGAAAAGAAAAAAGCTTTTACCGTAAATTCTTCAGCATGTTGGATATGTGCAACCACACCCAGACCTTAGAACAATGCCTCTAAAACTGATGATTTAAGTTCTTAGCCTGCCAGATAATTAAAACTGAATGAGAAATTATTTAGCTTGGAAACAGCTTCTTTAAAAATAATTAAGGCAAATTATGGAAGCCCTTCTCTCCCAGTCTCCTATTACATAGCTGTGCAGAGGAGAAAAACAGAGGACGTATTCTTAGACTGTAGCTTGAAAAAGGAAGGTAAAAAAAAATCAGTATTTAAGCTACTGTTAAACTTATTATCTCAAAGTATTTAAATGGGTTTGGTAATCATGTGGGAATGGAAGTTAGCTTTTAGCATGCTTTACTCTAATTGAAATCAGTTTGTGGTTTAAGTTCCTACCCCGCCTGACAGATGATTTCATTTCCTATGTGTTTTCTAATCCCTCCTGTTTTCCTAAGATTTTATAAAGCTAAATTGGACTATGCATTTTAAAGCCACTGCTCACCTTTTTGCTGATCTGCTCAGGCTGGTGTTTAACTATCAGACTCCACCAGCTAATTACTCTTCAGTTCTGCAGATTTCTTGTGTGAATTCTAGTTGAGGTTCAGCCCTTTAAGGGCCAAACCGGATGCAGTGTTACATCCTTACATTCAGCCGGCAGGTTTTAAAACATGCAAATAGCAGCCACTGAGATGACCTCTAATCTTTGGGACCATGACAAAGGAGGAATAGAATTTAACATTTACCTTCCCAAGGAAAAGAGCTCTTTATAAGCTGTTGTTTGTACTGAGACAAAATCTTTTGTTGGCATTGGGTTGTTTTATAGCGAAACTGCATGTGACTGCAAGGACACATCAACATCATGTCCAGTTTGGCCTAGTCCTGTAGAATTCATGGAAGAGGCTTGGACCACTCCACCATGGCAGCCAATCTTTGTTTTTGTCTAGATTGTGCCCTTTCTCTTTCACTGGAAAACAATAGCATTGTTTTTGCAGCTGGCAACAGAGACAGTTATGATGATGTTATCAGTGTTTTAAGATGTAGTAAATATAATTAATCCTTACCTGTGTGGTTAATTGGCAAACTACAAACTGGCATTATCTTCAGCATTAAACTACAGAAATTTGCTGAAATGTGTAATGCTAGGGGTAGAGGGGACTGGTTTACTTTACCATCTTGAAGTGGTGGTAGTATGAAAAAGGAATCATGAATTGGCAATATTTTTGGTGGGTTGTTTTGCTCTTGGAATGCTCAAGCTTGGTTTGATGCTCATTCAATGCTCATTCAAATGCCCCCTGCATTTTTAAAAAGGACTTGGTGTATTATGGCTCTTAGGGGAATATTGGAACATTGACAAGACTGGTCACCATGAATTGATTCATGTCCTGCTTAACTATCTTTTAGCACGAGGAAAGCAAATTTCAGCAGGTCTGTGCACTTGCCCCCTTCTCTGCTGTCTGACAGAGCCGCATGTCAGCTGAACCCTAAATTGCAGCTAATACTAACTATGGTTTGTTTAAGAAACCAGCTTCATAACCCTTGGTATGTTTAAAACAAACTACACTTAAGATTAATCAAAGTGTGTTGGGTTCAGATGACATGGCAAACTGTTTATTCTAAATCTGAAACAAAAACTATGAAACACCTCATCATAGCTAAGGTAAAAGAAGAGGAGTACCTGAGTCCTAGCTTGTGGTGTCATTCTAAAATAAGCTCAAGCACAATGTCCTGCCATTATTTTATTAAATTTCAATAGCATTATTGCCCTGAAAAGTTTAGAGTAATAGGTTAGCCTCGCAACAATCCAGAGAGGTAGCACGGGTGTGACAAAAGCGACCATGTCAACCTCAGGGCCAAGCAAGGTTTGAACATGTCTTCTCAAGTCTGTCTAGCTCCATTGTTCTACTCACCACACCACTGGTTTTCAAGGTTCCTGCCTTCAGGAAATGCTTCTCACGCCTGTTTTAGGCTGCCTAGAAGCTTACAAAGAATTATGGGGAGCAATCTAGGGAACACGTGACATTCTGAGAAATCCCATTCTTCCCCATGCGCATGCTCTTCCAGCTCCACATTGCAGGAAAAAAAATGTGTGGTAGTCCAGAGATCTTTAAGCAAACTTGTTTGGCATTGCTGAACATCTTACTGAGGAACATCTAAATAGGGTTCTGAGGGACTTCTAGTAATCAAGCTTGAAAGCCACTGCACTACACCACACTAGCTTCATGTTGCTATAGCTGGGGGAAGAGCACATGCATAACCCATAAAAGCTTAGCTCAACCCCTCCATTTCCCCTGCATCCTGAGGCTTTGCTGATCTTAGTGAAGACATTGCTAGAGGGTCCATCTTGTCTGACAGTCCATTCACACAACTAACTGCCTGTGGGAAGGTCCTAAGTGGAGGAGCATGAGTGCAGCAGCACCTCCTGCTCATCTTCCCAAGAACTGAATATACCACCTGCCCTGATTTAGGAAGCAGCCAATCAGAACATCCATTTTCCTCCATGAATTTGTCATTTATAGCCCTCCAAAGGGGTGGCCATCACTACATCTTGAAGTAGTGAATGCCCCAATTTAATGGCAAGCTCTGAGATGCAGTACTTCCTTTGGTATATTCCAGATCTCTCACTGATCATCTCCCTGGTATGACCTCAGGTTCTAGTATTTCAAAAGGGGAAGAAGCATGTCTCCTTATCCGCTTTCTCCAAGTCACGTACCTTTCACCTCTTGTTACAGCTTCCTTCATTGGTCTTCTTCCTATGCTAGACATTCTCAGCTGTTACAGTCTTTCCTGAGAGAATTACTCCAGCACTTTGCTCATTTTGGGGCTCTTTTCTGCAATTTTCTCAACTCTACAATATCCTCTTTAGTTGTGACTAGATGTGTCTTATGACATTCTTAAGTCTGGTTTATGAACACAGATTCATAATCCCTGTTGAGTCATATACTTGTTGGGTGGTTGTGGGCAGGCCGCCATGTTTGAGCCGTGCTTCTTCCCCTGGGAGAAAGTCTTTCTCTGCATCTGTATTAGTTGCCGATCTATAAAACTGGAATAATATAGCCTGACCTAATTCTCACTTTCGTTGTGAGCATCAGTGCAGTTAGAGAAGGCATGCTTTTTATTAAAATTACAATAGTCAATAAGGATATTGATTAAACGATACTGAATAACCAGTATTGAGGATTAAGGGTTGCTTTGGGGGACGTTTTGGAGGGTTACTTCAACCTTATTGGATTGCAAGATGTCAAATATTACAAAAGGAGGCAGGGCTGCCATGCAACTGTTTCTTGGCATTACATTCATTGCTGTGTCATTTTCCACACACCGGTAGCTCATTGGGTATTCTGTTCTCTTTTAAAGTACAGCAAAATGCTAACCTGACAATAATCTTATCTCAGGAGGAGCTTTTCATGTGGTTCTTTTCTAGATGGAATCTGTTTCCTGGCTCCCTTTTTACCGTGTCTGCTCTAGTTGGCATCTGTTCTCCCACAGCAAGCAGAGAGCTAAACCGTGAGAGGTTTTTTCCCCCTCACAGCAGTGAGGAGCCCAAGGTTTAAGTGTTCCTTCCCACTTCATCCTTATTATCGGCACCCTGCCATGCAGGCTTTTAAGTTTTGCCAGCCTATTAGATTCTGCATATTGACTACTGATTAGTAGCATTGGACTAAATGAAGTAGATCATGACATGATTCTCCCTAGGGGAAGACAGCTTCGCCTAATTTCTTTTTCTTTCATCTAAAACTGGGGTGGACAAGCTGTGGCCCTCCACCTCTTTTGACTGGTAGCTCCCATCATGCCTCACTGCAGGCTATGCTAGCTTGGGCTAATGCGAGTTGGAGGCCAGAACATCTGGATGACCACAAGTTACCCATCCCTGAAAAATCAAGGGGCTATAATTCTAAAGCACTCCTTGGAACACAAAACTTACAGCTGGCCCTGGAGTAGGAAATACCAAGAATACAGGCCTTCTACCATAGGCATGGAGGGATAGAGCAATGCCCCTCCAGTGTCATGGCCAGTGATGACTTTCAAGTTAGCACTTACTAACTTGAAAGTCCAGCCTCTGATACTGCTTTTCGAAACAAGCAATGTTGCTTCTACGGCACAAGTCCCTTTGCAAACAGCACAAAGACAAACCTGACTGTTTGACACTTCAATCCCTGATATCAGTTGAAAACTTCTGCCATTTACCTTCTTGGTTTTGAACACTGGGCTGCTGGCATCTGGCTCTGGCTCTGGAAAGTATTCCTTGGTCTTCAGTGCTGGCATGGCAGGTGGAGGTGTTCCCAAAATGGCAATACTGCGGTGGGGATTCCACCGATCAAAGTCCACCTGGATCTTTGAAGGCATAAATGCATGGAGCAGGTTGGGAAGCAGGGCACTGGAGGACTCGCAACCTCACAACCTCTGTGTTACTTTGATGACAAAATCTTGGCTTGACATTTTCCCACTTAACCACATTTTTGGAGTGCTTCCTGCCGATTTCACTGGTTTTCCCCATGATGTAGGATTGGGACAGGCTGCAAAGCATTTTCCTTTCCATGATTAGTTCAGTGAAGGGTGGTCAGTACTTCATAGGATTAAGCATCCAAAGGACTTGCTGCTCCCTTTTGTCCAGTCATTCTAGACAACAGAGTTGAACAATGCCTTCTGTTTCTCTTCAAGTGCAACACTGCAACATCAGGTGCATGAACGGAGGAAGCTGCAGTGATGACCACTGTCTCTGCCAGAAGGGATACACGGGAACACACTGTGGACAACGTAAGTACGCGCGATATTCCATCAGGACTCAGCTGGAGCACCTCCCCCATTTGGCTGCCCCGCTTGCAGAAGTGATTCAGGGGTGGGGATTCGGGGGGTTCGTGCGTGTGTGGGTCGACACGATGGCACTGTCCCATGCCAGCAACAGCAAAAAGGGTGGTTCCCAGTGGCTTGCAGTTTGGAAGTTGCTTTTCCACCCCGAGAAGTAATTTGGAATTGGCCAATGGGTTGATGGAGCCGGTACTCACTACCGGTCATTGATGCAGGTGTCATCTGTGAAACCCCTCTGAATTCCCTGATCCCTCTGAGCTTAGATGCAGTCATCACAGTTGCTGGGAGAAATTAATCTTCCCAGCAACAATGATTTGCTCTCTCTTTTAATTCAAAGGATTTGTAGGTAACTTGGTCTCAGATGGGTAACTGCTACCAGATCATTGAAAACAGCCTTATAGTGAGTTAGACCCTTGGTGCATCTAGTCCAGTATTGCCAACACAGACTGGAGCAGCTGTCCTGAACAGGTCCAGTAAGTAATCCATATGCTCTACTGGACCTGTTCCCACTAGAAATGAAAACTGATAACTGGAGTTCTTTTGGAAATGGATCAGCACAGCTGCGTGAACCTTTTGGCTCTGCTTGAGGATGTGGCTACAGGGAAAACCATGATGGAAGGCTGCACTTTAATTTACCACGATGCCACAGGGAAGGAGGCTACATCTTCATGTAGTCTTTGTTCTAGATTAGCTCGTGGTGGTGGTGCGGAATGGCAGGAGAACAGTGGTGGCCACCCAAAAGAGAAAACGTCTTGCTGCTGCTGAGAAACTTGGAAGAGCAGCCTGGTCTCCTGCTGAAAGAACTTTTGGCTTGGTGCGAGTGAAAAAGTAAAATTCAACCTCAAGGAGACAGTTGCAACCACCATAATGAAAACATTCTAGGCTGTTAGTTGACTGGAGTGGAATTTTTCAAATTAGCATGTGACTTTCCAGAGGATGCCAGGAGAATTCTTTCTGACGAGAACAATTAAAATAAGCACCAGACAAATTCATAATAATTGGATATTGCCTGATGTCGCAGCTCTTGCATTCTTGGCATTCTCAAAGAGTTTGAACGGTTCTGTGCGTGCAGGGCTTGATTAATCACAATTTCACTGTTGCGAGCAGCAACAGCCCTTTCGCATATAAAGAGCTGATTGCATGAGGGTTCCTTACAGAATATAGTGTAGACCTCCCTGCACAGGGCATGCTGATGGCTTGGCTGCTTGCCCTGCAATGCACTCAGCCATTTCTGGCTGGGTGGGTCCTGCCCGTGTCTTGCTGCGTGCACATAGGCCCCTCTCCACAGAAGCAAGCACGGTGCTCTGGGTAAGGTCTGGGAAGCGGTTGGTACTAGATGCGAGGGAGTGAGGGCGAGGACAGACCTGGCTTTCCGAGCATGCCTGGGTGACAAATGGTGGCCTGCTGGCAGAAGGCCAGCAGTTGGCAGGAAGGGGTTCATTGTAATGCAACCCACCAGGAGCCTCTTCGTTGAGGGCTGGTGTCCAGACTTGGCATGGTTGGCATGTGCTGAGGACCCACATCCGAGCAGGGTCCCCCTGACACGAGTCCCCAGGAAGTGCAGTTCCTCTGCACCTACTCTGGCCCAGACAGTGGAAATTCTGAGAAAGAGAAAGTGTAAGAAGCCTAGGAGAGCAAGAGGCGGCGGCGGCGGCGGCGACGGCGGAGGAGGAGGAATAGCATCTGGTAGCCATGGTGATGAGAGGGGAGTCTCCCTGAAGAAGCAGGGGGTCCTCTGTGGCTGCCCAGGGGCTTCCCAGAACCTAAAGTTATCACTGGCCTTGCAGTAAGACTGATGGAATTCTAAAGGACCAGGGCATCCATTCACACTCAGAAAATCTTTTCCAGGGCTTTTCCATTGACTTCATGGTCAATCAGCTATGACTTTTCAAGAAAAGTCTTAGCTGATTCCAGAGCTTGTCTCTTTTGAGTTATGTGATTGTGTTTGTAAGTGCATTTGATAAGTGCTGCATGGAGTTTGGCATTCGCCCCCAAAGCCTCGTCGAAAGCAGGAAGTCTTTCAGAGTCCCAGCCCAGCCATATTCCAATGAGTTGTTTTGCCAAGCAATGTGGATTTGTAATAATGCACTTAACTGCAAATCATGTTCTTTGAAAAAAGCCTGTAATTTTGTGGAGCAGATTTGTGTGAGGTTTCCTAGAGAGAGCAGTGGGAAGGGGAAAAGAGAGCACTCATCTCTCGGAGCAGCCGTGTTTTCAGTCCTGTGGTTCTTTTCCTCACCCGGCCACCACAACACAACATTTCCAGGGCTTGAACCCTGCCACAAGTAATGGTGGAGGACATTCAGTGACTTCTGAATGCCCATTCAGCTTGCACTGCTTGGATGTCCAACCAATTGAAGTAGAAGCCAGGCAAAACAGAGGTGCCTGCTTTTCAGGGTCCCCATCCAGGATCAGAGGTGTATCAGCTGGTTCTAGTAGGGGTCACACTCCCCCTGAAAGACCGAGTTTGCAGTTTGGGGGTGCTGCTTGACCCAGGCTTTCAGTTGTCAGTTCAGGTAGAAGCTGCGGTCAAGAACATTTGCTGTGAGCTTTGACTGATTCACCAACTGCAGCCCTTCCTGGAGGAGAATGGGTGGAAAACAGTAGTGCCTGCATTGGTAGCCTCTAGACAAAAATCCTGCCATGTGCTTTACATGGGGCTACTCCGGTACCCACTCCGGAAGCTGCAACTGGTATGAAATAGGCTGCCAGGCTAGTCTTGGGGGCATCATGGAGAGACCACGTGTCACCCATTTTAAAGACTTTGTGCTGGCTACCGATATGTTTCCGGATGCAGAACAAGGTGCTGGCAATTACTTTTAAAGCCCTTCCTGGCTTGGGTCCAAAATACCTTCAGGAGTGCCTTTGCCCATCCATTCTGCCTTGCCAGTTAAGGTCTTTCGGGGATAATCTTCTGAAGTCTGTAAGATTAATGTCAGCTACTCAGAGGACTTGTTCAGTGGTTGCCCCTAAGTTGTGGAATGGTTTGCTAGGAGAGATGCATCTGCTTTCCCAAATTCCCTCCTTTAAGAGGGAGTTAAAACATACTCATATCTCTTCCAACAGGCCTTCCCACATTAGTTCTCATGTCAGTTTTATTTAATATGTTGTCTTAGTCAATTTTAATCACTGTTGGTTTTAATTTCTTGTAAATTGCCCAGAGCCTTAATAAATATTAAGATAGAGAGATTGCTAGAGAGATAAATAGATGTTTGTACTTTAAATCTGGTATCATGGGGAAATAAGAGTTATAAGATTTTAAAGTTTTCATTACTGCAACATTTCTTCTGCCATGGGGATAGTATTCCTTCTGTTTCTTTGAGCCAAAACAGATACTTTAAATCAGAATTTAGCAGGTATGTCCTTTTCCATTTTCACTCTAGAACAGGTGCATAGGCTCTGTATCCACATCTTAAAGCTTCGATTGGGTGCCCTGAGTTAAAATTGGGATGGGGCAGAGAGATGTAGATTTAAAGAAAAGACTTGTTTGGCCCATTCTCCACAGGAACAGGCAGGAGAGCAGCGATTCTAGGGTTGGGGTCCTTCTCTCCTCTCCCAGTGGTAGGAGGGCCCGAAGCATGTGGGCTGGTAGAATCCAGGTGTGGATCCTCCCAGTTTATGTCCTCGGCATCACTGCTTGCAGGCAGTGGTCCATGTAAAAGACCCCATTCCAGCACTGGAGAGCAGTGATGAGTTGAAATGGACAATAGGCAGATATTCTGGCTGGGTATAAGGGCAGCTTCCTCTATGCCCAGGAGAATGATCCTGGGGTTTTTTAAAGACCTGGTTTGCGGTGAATGCTGTGATGGCAAGTGAACTTGCTGCTCACTCACTGCTGGATGACTCCGGCTGCAAGTAGGAGGAGTGAGGCAAGCCAGGATGTTTATCTCCAGTAACAGCAATGAGGTGTCAAGCACGAGCAATTTCACTTATCCCCATGTTCTTCCGAGCAACCCAGGCAGGGGAGGCCAGTGATGCATGTGTCGGCGGGTCCTCATCCATGGCAGCCTTTACTTTGAGCATTATGGGAACTCTCCAGGGTGCTGAAGTCTATTCCCCAAGCAGGTTTGCCACCATGGAGCACATGTGTAGTGCCGATAATGCTCAAACTCTGAATCCAGAGTTTAAAACATGCAAGTGTAATTCAAAACAGGCCAGTGCATCAGAACCAGATACCTGGGTAACTGGCTTTGGGAATATGGGAATGACCAAGCACCTGCCCGCAAGGATATTGATATCTCAGAGGCTGTTTCTGTAATCACCAAAAAGCACAGTGCCAATATTTTCCTGGGCTATACAGTTTGCATTCTTCATGGGAATCCTGCTCTGTGGCAAATACTTTGGAGAAAAGGGTTCCAGCTCAGGATTCCTTCTGAGGAATAGTTCAAATTCAATCATAGGGGAGCATGGAATGATTACTGAAGTTATTCAGAGTTAACCACAACTGAATATTTGTCACAAATTCTCGGGTCCTGGAGGCCTTGCCATTAACTGTTGCCGACTTTGCTTGCAGCTGTCTGTGAAAGCGGGTGCCTTAACGGAGGGAGATGTGTCGCACCAAACCGATGTGCCTGCACTTACGGCTTTACTGGGCCTCAGTGCGAAAGAGGTAGGTTTTTCTAATTAACTTTTTAAAGGATGCAGCAAACTTTGACATGTGCTAAGAAAAGCTTATTGATAACATGAGTAGCTTTAAAATGCAGCAAGTATGAGTGGAGATTTTGAATTTCTTCTGGTGGCTTGTGCTGGCTGATGAAACTGAAGCAACAATAGATTTTGTATGGCAGATTTGGTTTTTGAAAGAAAATGTGGGAAATTGTTGTGTGTGTCTGTGTGCCCAGTACAGGGGGAACATGACTGGTTCATGTCCGTCACTAGGATTTGGGATGGCTTCAGTAGGTAAAATGAAGTGGGAGAGGGGAAGAAATTAAAGTGAATTGTACTTTCTTTTACTGCACTTCCAAGGTAAGCGAGATAACTTTCTGCTGCAACTTTTAATAGTTCTCTCACTTCTGTGGCATTTCTGGGTACAAAAACAGCATTGGAGAATGCTTGTTCCATTGTTGCAAAGCAGTGTCTCTGTGTTTCCCTCCAAACCTTTGTCGTGGGGTTGCCACCTTTTCCCTCAAAAGATTCTGTACCTTTTAAGCAGCTCTCTGAGTGGCAGAAATTCAGCAAGTGTGGCTTCCCTCCTCATTGTGGTGTGTTATCATAGCTCTTCATCCTGTGAGGAATGGAGAGGCAGTTGAATGTCTTCATGCCAAGGAGGAAAGGGTGGTGAGGCTTTCCCCCAGCTATTAACAAAAGCACAGATAAACCTGAAGCAAAGAGGCTGATGCGGAGGCGTTACTGCTGTTACCGGTGTGTTGTTGGTGTGTGGGAGAGGCGTTATTAATGTGGATGAATGGGGAACCAACTGTGAACCATTTCAGAATATGGGGGTGCCAAGCCTTTAAGGATTCAGTAATATTGTACTCATTCGGCACAAATATCAGGCAGTCCCTGTTGCAATTTAGATGTGCAGCTACCCTTGAAGGGGCAGCGTACATATCATTTAAAGATGGAAACAAAGAAAGAAGGGTGTATGAAACGTAGGCGTTGTTTCGGTTTAAGTCTCTAACTTAAATGCAAAAGCTGTTCATTCAGAGAAACATAATCATGTACATTTTAGTTCACTGTTTAATATACAAGAATGTCTTGGGCATTTTTTGGCAATCAAAGTTACACTTAAGTACCAGAGTTACATTCTCTCCTGTTCCATGTCCTGTACTTTGTTTTGACTAGCTTTACAGAGCTCTTCTTCTGTAAAACTTGCATGAGTTATCAGTTTTGTGAACTTTTTGCTTGGGTAGCTATAGCAACGCACACAGCTGTTCCCAGATCAGAACACAGCCACACTTATCTGCTCTAAAGTAGTTTCAAGGAAATTAAATCACATTTAACAGTGTTCTGGAGAGAGATGACAGCAATAGTTGTTTAACTCTAATTATCATTGGGCTGTTTTGTAGTCTTGAAGATAACATATGTTTTAATTTGAACAAATGGGCTAACTCGTCTGGAAGATGCATACGATAGATTACATATAACACAGACTATTAGATAGGCAGTAAAGCGAATCCAGCTTCTTTTCCAGTTAATTTTTAATTGTGTGTGTGTGTGTGTGTGTGTGTGTGTGTGTGTGTGTGTGTAACACGTTGGCTCTGCTATAGTTTAATTTTGGGAGCAAGTCCAGTAGCTACAAATATCCCTAGTTTGAATGCAAACTGCCACAGTTCAGAACAGGTAGGATGACATTAACATTATGGTAACTCGACTGCACAGACAAAAGAGATGGTTACCCAAGCAGCCAGATGTGTGGTAAAATATGAATGTTTATACTGTGGCCGGCCAGAGTGGGAAACAGCAAAAGCTTCCCTAGCAGAGAGGTCTTCCCCACTTGGCTGTCAGTAGGGTCTTCCATGGGGCAGGTTTGGGTCCTTCTCCCTCCCTGCTGCCTCGGCCAATCCTTGTTGCACAAACCTATAATTAATATGATGGATGTGCAGCAGCCAGTCGTGAGCATTTATCGAATTAATCCCACGCATAGGGAAATTCTCCAGTCGAAGTCAGCGAGGCTTAAAAACGCTGAATGAGGCAGGCTTGTGCCGATGCTGGCATAGACTGGATGGTTCGACCAGCGGTGCTGCAATGTTGTTAGCTCAGGAACTGGATGCCAGCTTGGAAAAGCTCTCAAGGGGTGGCAGGGCAGAAGGGCCTTGGGAAAAACATTCCCACCATTCAGAATGGGGAGGGAAAACAGCACGAAAGCGGAAAAGCCATCAAATGATATGGAATTGAGGAAGGGGGTGCAGCCTTGGCGAATAAAACTGTGTTCAGCAGGGACCAAAAAAGACTGTAATGCAGATGCCAGATTGCAACAGAGAAGCCAGGTTTGTGTTGTTCTGTTGTGGAAAACATGGGATTTTGTTCCTCAAGGCCATAGGGTCTGGTCTTAAAGCACATGAGGCAGTCATTTTGCTGAAGCTCTCCAAAGCTGCCTGGCCATCGCTTGTGGGGAAGACCACCTGGAAGCTGGGTGCAGCTTCCTTGACTTCCATGATGGAAGAAAAGTGGGCTATCGTGTAAAAAACAAAAGGTCGTGCTAATATAGCTGCTGCTACTTGGGCCCTGAGTTCCTGAAGGACCAACTTGACCCTTATGCACGTACCTGTCCATTTAGATCAAGTCAGGAGGCCCTTCTCAAGGAACCGCCTCCCAGGGAGGTGAGGGTGAAGGCAGCCAGAAGAAGGGCCTCCTCAGTGGTTGCACCCTATCTCTGGAATAGGCTCCCCCACAGAGGTGTGCCTGGCACCTTCACTGATACCCTTTCAGTGCCAGGCAACATCATATCTTTTCTCCAGCTATTTTAATAGTTCTTTTTACTGGTGATCTTGATTTTAACCTGATACTATTTTTGGCTTATATTTTTAATCTCAGTTTTAAATTGTTGGTTTAAAAATATTATGTAATAATTTTAATCTGTTGGATTCTGTTTCTTTATATTTTTGAGTGTTATTGTTAATGCTCTATTTTCACAGAGTTTAAAATGTGATGCTGTTTTAATTGTTTGTAAGCTACTCAGAGAGCCCAAGTGTGGGTTAATACAGTGGCATATAAATTGAAATAATAAATAATAAATATTGCTAAGCACAAAAAGTATAATTAGGTATTGTAGAGAGTTAAAAAAAGGTAACTTTAACTTTAAAGATAAAGTTAACCTTGGTTCAGTCTTGTGTATAATTCTAACCTTCAAGAACTATCCTTACAGAAATATCTTTGAGTATTTAGATACGCAAATCAAAAATTTAAAAGCAATTGTATACCAGAATGATGCACAGTACATTTTAATGCATGAGAGTTGGAATGCTAATGGATTTGCAAGTTTTTAGGCAATGCCTGAATTCATTTTAGGCAATGCCTGAATCCAAGCATTTCTTAAAAGTGTAAACATGTGCAAACATAATAATGCTTCATGTGCAGAGGAGCAGCATCAGCAACTGTATTTTGTGGGGATGAATGGAATCCCTGCAGAGGTTGGGGATGATATGAGCAATTTTGCTGATCCTCATGCGATGCATTTATTTCAAGGATTTTCTGAAGTTGTGGCAAGTTTGTTTTGCCAGTGGTGAAATGTATTTCTTGAAGGTTTGAGTCATATAATAGTTTCAGTCCGATTGCATCAGCATCTTACATACCTGTATGAACTCTTGAATTATTGAGCATAGTATTTTGGTTTACTTCCACACTTGGAGGAAATCTCCATGAGCAGAAAGCAAGAATATTCACATGCCTCTTGCTATCCTGCTGTATCTTTGGGGTGGTATAAAAACTAATGGAAATTGATGGGATTTGACATAAAGGCAAAAGTGAAATATAATTAGGAATGGAGTTACAGTCAGTAAAAATAACAAAAATGTTTCTTTCTCTGCTGTGTTACAAAAGCTGGTTAAATGTGGGCTGGATGATGGTGATGTCAGATGGGAGTGCCATGCTTGAAAAGCTTCTACCACCAGTCCCACATCAAACTGGGGGAAGTTTTGAGTGGGATGCTGCGGCATCTAGTCTGGGCCTAAACTTTTAAAGCTTTTCATCAGTGACCTAGATGAAGGGGTAGTTCTGTGTCAGATGTGGAGTGGTATGCAACCAAGCCCTCTATTTTGCCCAGCGGACTTATTCTTATTCAACTACTATGCTACCCAGTAGCCAAAGCTCTCGGGGTCAGTCTGCAACACTTCCTAAATAAAACCACGATGCAGTAAATTAACCATAAAAATGTCCATGATGCAGGACTTTAAAACAGCTTTAAACAGTTTCAAACTTTTAAAACAACTAAAACAATATTTCATACAAAATAGACTTCCTAAAAACAGTAGATATAAGTGCCATCTATATTATCCATTCTCTAATTATTAGATAGTATTAGATGTCTTTAAATGTCAGCCCAGAGGGCTGTCTGAGCTTGGATGAGTGAAGGGGTGCCAGGTGGGCCTCCATGGGAGATCAGGCCACCCTTGGGGGGCTGCCATGGAGGAGGCCTCAGATGTTGATTGTGGTGGACAGGAGGGGCAGCCATGGTCCCAATGATTTAGTCACCACATGATTTAGCCCCAGTGATGCCTCTCGGTGGCTCCACAGAACTATTCGCCTGAAGGAGATTAAAAGTGAACTTGTGACACCTCTCTTTTCCCTTCAAAGTGCAGTGGAAAGTACAGACATAATCATGCTCCCAGCCAGAGTTTCCTTTTGGGTCAGACGACAGCAGGTTTGGACTCCAGTCACTTCAAATATTAAGATTAGTTTGCATCTCCGTGGTGCGTGTGCTGCATGTGCAAACAATGTCTGGCTTTCCATCTCCGGCTCCTTTTTTCCATGGAAAGATATTTTTCTCTGCAGAATATTTATCAGCCTCCCAAGAAATGCAAAATATAACATTTGGACCCATCAATTGTTTAAGGAATTCTTTGTTGATTGACCTTGGGTCTTTTAAGGATATTTGCATATTTGCAGCCTTTGTGAGGGTAGAATAGCCAAAAGTCATTGGCAAGAGGGCAGATACAGGTAGTGTTCATG